GCCTTGAAGGCATGAAGAATGGAATCTGGTGGAGCCAAGAATTCTAAAGGACACAGATACATTTAAAAGGGGGACTAAAGGGGCACCTGGGTGGCGCAGTAGGTTAGGCTCCGACTCTTGGTTTCGGCTCAGGTCATGATCTCAGGGTCGTGAGATCAAGCCCCGAGTTGGGCTCCACGCTTAGCACTGAGTCTGCTTGAGATTCTCTCTCCCTCTCCCTTTGCCCCTCCTCCTGCACATGCTCTCTCTCTCTCTCTCTCTCTCTCTAAATCTTTAAAACAAAGGAGGGGGGGACTAAAAGGGATAGTATCCAATTTAAAAAAAAAACACACATAGAAATGTTGCAAAAACAACTTGCCAGACCAAAAGATATAATGGACCAATAATATATAATGGAGAATTTTTATCTCATCATAAGAGATTGAAAAACAAAGTTAGTAAAGGACAAATAATTAACTTTTAGAACAGGAACCTTCTGAAGCCCTAAGAACCCTGGAGATAACTTAATACAACTTCCCAAATATGGGCTAGGTCACAAAATAATGAGACCTGGGGTGGGGGCGGAGGAGTATTATAAAGAAGAAAGCATCCTTTTAAAACAGAAAGATGGCTAAGGAGAGGAGAAAAAGCAAATTCAAACTAGAAATTAAGGGCAAACTAGAAATTATGCAGAAACCAAAAGAAGGAATTCTAGGACAACCTTGCAAAGGAGTGAAAAGGCATTTTTAAAATTTCAAAGAGAGATAACCAGGTTCAGATTCTGAGGGAACATTTCATAATCACAGAGCAAAGGGTTTTAAAGGGTTTTAAATCAGTAGTTTTAAAGGCAAAAGCAACGTGTCTTTGGTTGTTGTTTAGAGCATTTAGCACAGTGCCTTGAACATGAAGACCTCTCCATTTTTTTAAAGCAGATTCATTTGATACCTTTTTTGGTCTTTACTTTAGAAAAAGGAAGATTTCCACTTTCAAATTGTCTTTTGAAGCAGAGAGATCTAAGATATTACACTGGATAATAATAATAAACACACTGATATTCTACACCTAATCAAAAGATACTAAGAAGTAAGTTAGAGAGAAAAAAATAATCTTGCTAAACTTTTGAAGAAACTCAAAAGTTTAATTGTAGAATTATTGACAAAATGAAACTTATATTCCATAGGACCTCATGGCTAGGGGTCTGATGGCTTGCTCTTAAGATTCATCAGAGACCTTGGGTTCTAAAGTCAGTGGGCCTCATTTCCTTACTGGCAAGTAGGGTCTCTGGACACATGAACAAACATCCAATGTGGGAAGAGGGAATTTGTTTTTCATTAGGCAAAATTCTGCCTGACTTATTTAATGCTTCAGAGCACTTTAAGATATTATTCCAAACACTGGTCAAATAAGAATTTGCTAAGTTCCTAATTGCACATATTACTTTACTAAGCTCCATATATACAGTGATTTTAATGGACAAGTCTCTTAATCTAGCATAAGCAAATCCCTAAGACATATTACACTAATTTGTCACCAGTCTGTGCCTTGAACCTTTTATCCGTTCGTACTTTCTTTCACCTTTTGAAAGAAATTCCACACTCCAAATACCTCATCCCTGAGCCAGTAGTGTCAATAAAGTATCTGCAATAGTTCAAAAAAAAAAAAAAAGCCACATTGACATCCATGCAGAGATTCAAAATGGTCACCCTTTTAAAAACCATAAGCCTGTAAATAACACTTATGGACTAGCTTAATTAATAATTGAAAAAAAAGTAAAAAGTAAGTTCCAAATAAATAGTTTTCTATGGGCATTGCAATACTTTCACTAAAAAAAATGCCTTTCTACACCTGAAACTAATGTAAGATTGTATGTCAACTATACTTCAATTATAAAAATTTTTTTCAAATTGAAAATGAAAAGAATGCCTTTCTGATTTGTAGGCTAGAAATATGAAAAATTAAATAGAATTCCACAGTTTATGGAAGCATCTGGAAGAATCTGAGTAACTGAGAATTAAATAATCAATTGATTGTCCCCATTCCTTCTGCATATCACTAAGAACAGTTTCCAGAGCCTCACACCTTCTGTTGTGATCATGCTTGAACCAGAATCCCTCTGGTTCAGGACTCAGAGTAATAAAGAATGATTTCTTTGCCTGAAGAAATCTCAAAATCATGTCTGAAGTTCTTTGCATACATAGTTCATTAATATGCTTTCACACTATTTACATGTTTGGGTTTGCTGATGAAAACCTATAATCCAGTTGAGAACTGCTCCTCCAGCTTGAAAGGTTAATGAAAGATACAGAATGAAGTTGTTACATTCAGAGCAGGGTCTCCTGAAGCTGACAGCAACAACAATTAGAGAACTGAGGACTATGGGTCTCCTCCCCACCACCTGGCTGCCAGATTGTATGTTACATGGAAATAAATGGGACTGAATTGTGCTACACATGCAAACCTGTCTTTACAAGGAGGTACAGAAACAGACAACCAGCTCCTGTAAGCTTAATAAAGTCTTTCCTCAAAGTACCCGTTATGGACTGAACGTTTGTGCCCTCCCAAAATTCATAGTTGAAGCCCTAACCCCCACTGTGATGGTATTTGAAGGTGGTGCCTTTGGGAAGTGATCAGGCTTAACTCAAGTCACAAGAGTGAACCCCCCATGATGGAATGAGTGCCCTTCTAAGAAGAGACACCAGAGTGTCTGTGTGCTCTTTCTCAGTCTCTCTCTCTCCCTCCCATTCTCTCTCTGTCTTTCCATCATGTGAGGATACAGCAAGAAGGCAACTATCTACAAATCAAGAAGAGGGTTCTCACCAGAACTCAGCCATGATGGCAACCTGATCTCAGACTTCCCAGCCTCTAGAACCGTGAGAAATCAGTGTCTGTTATAGCAGCCTGAGCTAACTAAGACAACTCTTGGCTCTAACGATATCCTGTAGGAGATTCCAAAACAGATCTAACAAAATCTTGAAGATAGAAGCAATAAGCCTTTCGGTTTCCATTACAGGAGACACAAATGACTAAAAGGAGTTCTAGAGCTAAAGTGTCACTCCATACATTTTATGCCACTGCACTTACTGGCTGTTTGCTGGGTCTCTTTTTTATATATATAAAAGGATAAAAATGCCTGTGCAATCGTTCTAGCCAACTATATACCTTGAACACCACTCATTTCTCTAATGAAGAATTATTTGTAACATCCCTTTGGCTAAATAACAAAACCCTCTGGTGCAGATCTGGAGAATAATATTTAACTAGCTACCTCTGGAATTTGGACTCCTGATTAGTATTTTTCAAATGCTAACCAATCACTTTTTTTGAAGATTTTATTTATTTATTTGACAGAGAGAGAGAGAGAGTGCATGAGCGGGGGAGAGGAGCAAGGGGAGAGGGAGAAGCAGACTCCTTGCTGAGCAGGGATCCCAATGCGAGACTTGATCCCAGGACCCTGGGATTATGACCTGAGCCAAAGGCAGATGCTTAACCCACTGAATCACTCAAGCACCCAATCACTTTTAAGTAGACTGTAAATTACATATAATATAACAGAGACCAAGCTACTTCCATTTTTTACAAGGCTACCATTATATTAAAAATAAAATGTCACAAATTTTCTGTACATTTTGAATATTTACATTTAATAAATAAGTTATTTAATATAAAATATGTACAATAGAATATTAATTCAGAGTCCACTGAATGGGAATGGGACACAAGTGAAATTTGGTGATAAATGTCATCTTCCAATGCTGTAACTGTATCTCTGTGATATTCAACAGGTTGATTTGGAAATGACATCAAAATCTGAAAAAGCCCTTAGTATGAAGAAAGTTAGGCCTGGGCCAAACAGCATGACCTTGTACCATCTCTCTAACCCTAACTCAGGCTTTAATTTCTAAAATTCCAATGGTTTTGAAGTTCTCCCCAAGGGGTCTGCAGAAATCAAGATCACTGTGCTTTCCACTATGTCACGCTATCTCCCATGCAATGGCACAGTCCTAGGCTCGACGGAGGTAGTCGCCCATGTAGCCTGACCCAGGGTGGCACTTCTGATATGCACAAATATAGTCCTCTTTTCACCATTTACTTAGTTCTTTTCACCACTTATGACCTGGATACATTTTACCTTTACTGCATTCAGGACAAATCTGGAAAAATCAGGTAATAATAGAGTCAGGTAATAATGGAAAATACACCAAAACTGGATGAATTATTTTTCACTTAATTCACAAATAGAATGAGGTGGGCATATTTTGATCACTCACACTTTTTCATGTCTTCAGTTGCTAATAACTAATCCCTAGTGAATTCTTTAGGAGTTTCTATAACTAAGATTAAGGTAAACTTCACTGAACGGTTCAGGAATAAATCTTTCTCACTTTATAATGACTTTATAATCTCTATACATAGGCCACCATTCAGAATTGTTGCTGTTTCATTGCCTGTTAGTAATTAAATCAAAATGCTAGAGAATCCATTAAAAATGCCAAGTAAATCCTCAGCAACAACCTGGGCCTCTATTTCAAACAATATCTTAAATCAAAATCTATAGCAACCCTAGTATTTATTTACATGGAGTCTATCACCACAAGTGTTCATTGCATTGTATCTATCCACAGAAGCCAGAGAATAATCAAAGAGAATGGAGGAAAGAAAAGATGAAACAGAAAAAACACAAGTGAGTTTTCAGTTGTCCTCCAAACTAAGGAGAATCTTCTTTAGTTCCACAACCTCTTTCTACACTATTGTCCCTACTGGTTATAAAGCTCTTGATTTGGTCACCCTCCCTGGCTTTTATGAAAAGTTTACTAGACAGTAATGGAAAAGCAGCATATCCCTACTCCACAGAGCCGCAGGTTTCTTCTGGTAGCTCTGGCTTCTTGTGGATGCACAATCTAATTCACACACTTAACTGGACAGACTTAAACCCTGCCAAGCCCCACAGAGCAAATTTCCTCCAGTCCTCATCTGGCTGAGGATTCAACCTTGGGCTAGCAACATTTCTGACTTCACTCTACCTTGAAAAGTGTGTTAGAATCCACAGCAACTGACTCACCAATTAGCTCCATTTCTGCTTGAGATGTGTCCAGAGAGCTTACTAAAAAAACAAAGACAAAAACAAAAACCTATTACCAAGAACATGCTAGATGTATCATATTTGATGCCAGGATAGGTCTGCTGCTAGGTTCAGGTACAATTATGCTATGTTAAATCACATAAGATTAATGATTGTTTCTCCTGGAACCAGTAGATTGCTTGGGGTCTCTCTCTTACCTAGAATATGCATGATTGGTAAGAGTTATTTGGATTTTAATATTTAATGTGTATGAGAGATGTGGAGTTTTAGAAAACATATTTCCTTGAATTCACATTAAAGGAAACGCATGCTCACGGTTTCCCTTTGTGTGTAGGAGTCAATTGCATCTTATAAAACCCACATCATAGAGCCATTCAATGTTCGGTCACTACTGCAAACACTCTCCTACCACAAAGAAAACTTCAGACAAGTTGCGCCTTCCAACAAGTACAACAAGAAACTGCCAGAAAATTAACCTTGCAGAGTGATACAGTTGTTCCAGATGACAGTTGGCTGAAACAGTTTCCAACAAACCCCTCCCCGGCAAAACCTCCTTGACAGGTTTCCAGTGAAGTGACAAGAATCCCACAGAGAGAGAACTAACTAAATGGCTCTTCATTTCAAAGACCCATATGGGGGGCAAAATTAACAGTCATCAACTTCAATTATATATTTTTTTTCCACAGAGAAAAATAATTTATTCCAGTAGATGGCAGAAATAAGAAAGTCATCCTGAAAATATACTTTGGTGCAATTCTGTTGGGACCGACAGCCCCTCTGAACATGCTCTCCTACTGATTGCCCCACTGGATTCTGTCTTGTGACAGTTTGCTGATTCCCATGTTGTGACCAGGCAGGAGTCATCTTCAAATTCACAGGTTCCAAGGAGAGAGCAATGTATTTCTCAGAAGAATAGCACCTTCTATCTCAGAAGAGTGCATAAACACTTTACAGAGTCAGCACAGTTTAGGTTAAGTAGGCACATAATTCGTCAAAACGTA